TCGTTTGGAGGCAAGTCCATGCGCTGACCGTCTTCGTCTACAATCTGTAATCTTAGTTCTGTCATTCGACGTAGAAAAGTCGTGTCACGAGTCAGCCTGTTCGTAAAATCTTCGTAACTCATTTGATGAAAATCGTCTTCTCTAATAAATACAGGTACTCTTCTTGCTTCGGAGTAGTAAATAAACTCCACTTTAAACAGATATTCTGCCATATTTTTAGATTGATACTGGCGAAATGAAATGCGTCTTTTAGCACTTACCAGCCACGTGTTCTAGTCGTCTCTTTTTGATTTGGTGTGGCGACAGTGCAGACCGCTGTCTGGTTTATAATATAAACAACTCTTTGATTTTACCGCAACTTTGATAATATCTGGAGCAACTTGTAAACATTTACTCGCAATGTTACAAAACAACTTTAGTAGTGTGTTAACATTTTATACAAAGTTAACGTTCGAGGTTTGGTGGAAACTACTGTAATCATAATTCAACAACTTAATTATTTCTTTTGTACCTAGTCCAATTTATCACACTAGTATGTTATTATGTATTGTTTACATTGTAGGTCGATCTATTTAGTATATTGTTATTTAAAGTCCATTTGTAATTGTAAATGCGTATATGTGTAGGTCACAAAAATCGAAAAATTTAAATAGCTCTTTGAAGATTTGATGAAGGTGGTGAATACAAAATTATAATAAAACCAAATTAAGATGTTAGGTTTGGTTATAATTTAAAGTATTTTGAGATACGCCAGGCTTATTAGGCTTTACAAAAGCTTTTACATTTTACCGAATTCTTTTATGCAAGTAGTGTGCTCGTATTCGTCTACAAAGGAATATTCTTAATTGTTAAATAATATTGTTTTTATTAATACTTTGTGAATACATAAACAAATATTCCAAAGGACTGATACACTTCCCATGACTGACTGGTATAGAGTCTGTCACAGTATACTCAGGATATACACTATTTACCCAATTACCTCATACTCGTGTAGACTATCAATTCTAAATTATTTAACGTCGCGCCCAAACCTTTGAACTTTTATAAAACTCGTATTATGTACATAATTGTTATTTACGATTCAACTAATGTTTACCAATAGTCTATAATACAAGACAGCCACTATTAAAACTT